TTACAGGTTACTAATAGTAACTTAACATTGATCATCTATTCATGATTTCAATAAGTAACTCAACAATCTCCAAAACTATTTTACTCTTCTACAATGTATACTGTCACTGTGAATCACACAGACACATACACATAAAAAACCATCTTAGTCATCAGTACAAAGAAACATGAAATGATGAACGCTAACTGAACAAAATTATTTCTCGAAAGAATGTAAATTCAATAACAAGATAAGAGAAGGAATAGAGAAGCGTATTTTTAAAATGAAAGTCAACACGATAATATCGAACATTATTTGTTCACGTAATTTATTATTACTTAAAAGATTGAATAAAATGATTAGAATTTCAAAATTAAAATCTAGGAAAAACGAACAAGTAAGTAATCGATAAACACTGAAAAAAACAGATTCATAAATTTGCATATGAAATTACAAATTTACTCAGTAAAATCGGAAAACCATATCGTAAACGGTTAATTTGCAAAATATCAGTCCATTATATCGAACTGGACTGTTCCTGTTGCAAAACATCAATCCATTGTCCCTATTCATGAGTTTCATACAAATTCCATTGTGTTCTAACTCCTCTTCCTTTCTTGATCTTCCCCCATCTTCTGCTGCCAGACATTACATTGACACTCACGTCATGTAGTACTTATAAGTAGCTCGCACCACACTTCTACTATGTCTACACCAATATGGGATTTGAATTGAGAATTACCTCTATGTGTGCTTGTAGTGCCTCCACATATATTCCAGTTCGCTTATATTTAATTTGGTTAAGCCCTTTCGATTCATTCTTTTAACCAAGCCATTTGGATTGTGAGCAACAATTTATATGTACCATTCGTTCTTATAATTGTCTGGTTTGTATGAGCTCACATGACGTGTCATTTGACCTTGTCAATTATTCGTCGCTTTTATTCATGTGTGTGCATGCCTATCTCGTTGATCACATGTCTGTCGTATATTTGTCTGACTATAAATTCTTAGTCATGTTCTATCTCCTTGAGTTGGCTCATTAGCCTTCTCCAACGCGCTTCACCTGTTTATTCGCTTCCCTCGCCCATTTGTTCGCATTGTAATCCTGAGAGTTGACTCAACAGCCTTCTCCAATTCACGTCGCTTCATTCGTTTTATTCACAGCTTCTCCGCTTCTCTTTGTAGTGTGTCCCAAATAAACGTATTCAACACTACGAGTTTATCTTCTGATTTATAAACCATCAGATGCTATTTAGTAACATTAGTCTAGACGAGCTAATTACCGAAATGGACAACACTGGGTATGAAGACATCATTGGACGACATGGACTGGGAGAAAGGAACGAAAACGGTGAGAGATTTGCAAACCTATGTGCCTTCAACAAACTGGTCATCGGTGGCACAATATTCCCGCACAAACGCATTCACAAAGCCACATGGATTTCACCGGATCACACTACTCAAAACCAAATTGACCATATCTGTATCAACAAAAAGTTCAGAAGGACCATGGAGGATGTGAGAACCAAGAGAGGAGCTGATATAGCTTCAGATCACCAATTGCTGATCGCCAAAATGAACTGGAGAAGGAAGCTCAGGACAGAGTTGGTTGGAGAAAACTGGTGGGCGGCCTATGCTCCATTGGGGGTAACAGGCGTAAGTAAGTAAGTAAGTAAGCTAATTACCGAGCTTTAGAACACGCAGTAAATTGACACACTACATGCTAATGTAGTATGGCAAGTTGAACTAATGTACATGTGTACGAAGTTCTATGTTGTAACTGACTAAATGGCTGACTGATTGATTGACTGGTGACACTGAATAGTCATCACAGTATTCAATAGATGAACAGTGGTTTGTTAACGATCTCTTTATTAATCGTCTTGTACTTAAACAAACTGTTCTATGTTGACGGATTTAGCACATATTATTCATAGGAGGTGGAGAAACTTTGAAGCTCAAGTGAATGATTATGGTTGTGGAGTTCTCATGGTTCTTCTGAACAACATCCAGAGCAGATATTTCAGATCACTAAGTGAAGTATTCCAGTTTATGTATATTACCAGAAGTGACAAGGGAAAATTGAAGACTTTAGTATATCGTAAGTCAATACTTAATTGCAGTAACAACAACCCATAAAAATATCTAAGAACTGTCCTCCAGAAGAACGGCTATCCACGCAACTTCATCGGCACATATTAACAGAAGTGAAATAATATACAGGAACCAACAAACGGATCATCCTAACTTATTCACAAAACATATCGGAAATTTCAGCACGACTATTGAGACCATTTGGAATAGGTGTAGCACACAAACTAACAGATCACTTCAATCAATCCTTTGTAGACCAAAAGACACAATGACAAATGAAGAAAAACCAAATATCATTTACAAAATAAACTGCTCAGATTGTGAAAAACACTACATAGGGCAAAGTGAACATCCTCTTCAGCTTCGTCTGTGCAAACATCAGTTACCAGTCAAACGCCATGACATTTGTTTCCTTAAATCAATACTTACGGACAACTATGGACACACATTCGATTGGAACACTGGTGAAATACTGGATAGGGGGAGGACAAAGAATACTATAGAATGTTTAGAAGCTTGGCACTCAGGTCAATCAGCAATCAACAAACACATCAACATTGACCCAATTTATCAACCAATCAGAAAAATCATAGGTGACACTAGGATCAAGAAACAGATCAAAAGGGGGATACAATTACAGTAAAGGTGCAAACGATGACAGGTTTAAGGTCAACAACAACCAATCAAGATCAAGGTCAACGGAACAAGCTACTAGTCATACACGTAAAGAAATTCGAATACATTGCGAGGTTGTTATGAAGATTGTTAAGTTTTATTTGTAACCTGATGAGTCCCATACCAAGACGAAACGGCCGTCCAGTGCTTTCGGGTTTCTAATGGTGGTCAAACATTGATCGAATCATGTTTACAAATAAAATTCAAATACCTCACCTTTTCTACCTAAAGTTTTCTGCTGATAATGTAGTAGTTCTGTAGAACAATATTCGGACGAAACAGCTGTGCAGTATTTCCAGGTTTACAGGATTTATGACTTCAACAATATTTAAAAGTGTTTCGTAAAAATCGTTTTGATGATATCACACTAAACAAATCGATAATTTTGACAATAACACTGAAATTTATGTTGGTAACTTAAATGAGTTGTTTCTTACTAACAATCAAGACAAAATATTATTAATAATAGGAAATCGTTTACGCATTGTGGTTTCTCACCATCTGCTTAAAGTCATAAATATGCAATATACAGTAATATTGAGATATGATATAATATATGACATAATCAATGCTGGTGATGTAAGGAATTTGAGTAAAATATGATTGATAATAGCTATAAACGAATATAGTTATATTTATATATGTATACTGTTCAGCAACAACCTACTTTGTCAGAGAATAATTCAGATTTAAGATTAGGGAGAAACGAGGAAGAGACGCTGGAAGTGAATAGGACACACATTGACGAAGACACCCGACTGCATCATAAGGCAAGGCCAAAGGAGGAGAGGAAGACAAGATAACACATGAAAATTGGGAATTGGAGACAGACATGAGGAGAATGAACAACAAGGAAGGCCTAGGACAGTGGATGGATTGGATAATGTTGATCGGCGGCCTAATACTCCATTGGTCGTCACAGGCTTAAGTGAGTAAGTAAGCTTGAACACAAGTGAGGTCATGTGAAGACGAAGTTCAGAAAACGAAAGAAAGATTGAGCCAGTAAATAAAAATAGTCTGGAATCACACACACACACACACACAAGATTTTCATGAGTTCTAAATTACGTGAAAATAAAATTTAGAAAAGTAGAAAATTCATAGTAACGAGGTGTTAAATTTATAGAATCAGTAATTGACGTATTATGTGGTGAACATCAGCTCTAAGATGTGATCGGTATACCCAGTTAAAGACAAATCGTGGGTTCCAGTTCGAATCATTGTCAGTCCTCTTGATTTTATGTAACCATCCTCACATGGTGTACATACGTCAAATAAGACTGATTAATACCAGTTTTGAAGATTGTTAGGTATCACTGAAGTCATAAATCGGTCATTGATAGACCACCTTTAGAAACCCAGAAACACTGTATCGACGTTTCGTCCTTGTTTAGGAATCATAAGTGGTAGGGAATATTCACCACTCTCGCTATTCATAGGAATCCAACAGAACAACTTCGATCTATCAATGATCAATTTATGATGTCGATGAAACTCAGTCAGTCAGATGCAACGTAGAACTTCGTACGTAATAACATCAGTTCATGTTGCCATACTACATTAGCACAGAGATGTAATTGTCAATTCAAATCCAATAGTAGTAGAGGTAGTAAAGGTATTAGAAGTAATCGGAGAGGTTAAGATTAGAAGATATTATTCAAGAAGTATGATTAAAGGAGAAAAGTTTGTAAAGTCAAAACTAGAGTCGTTGAAGAATCCAGAAGATTAGGATTTGAGAGAACACAATGAACGGATGCACTTACGCCATTGCAAACGATTTTGAGCAATACAAAACAAAGCTCGTCGAGGTAGTCGGTAGTTAGGCATATGCAGCACATGTCCCAACCACCTGAACTGATGAAGTTTCACCACTTCATCTATTGATCTGCCATCCTTAACTAATACTCGTTTCCTAACGACATCATTGCTCACTCGGGTGTCCCAGGATATACGAGCAATGCTTCGAAGACACCTATGATCGAAAACCAGTAACCTACGAATATCTTCTACTCTCACTATGTAACTCAGTAGTCTTCAGAATCTCTAATACTTCACTCCTGTATGAAATTTCTCCTGATGATGTTGTGTTCAGTAGAACAATGAAAGCTCCACAAGTACAAATTATCCAATTCAACGAACATCACTCCACTACAAATATTCACAACTCTAGAATGGCAGTAATATACAGTACCATTTATATGATTACTATTATTATTATTATTATTATTACTAGTAAAAACTTAACTCACCAAATAACATTGTCACAATGGATAATGGCAAATTCAGCGTTACATGTAATAAAGCACCAATTGCTTGTGATCCTATAAAAAAATATACAATCGAGACATTTTTCCCATTTCCCGCCGTTTGTAATGCACCACCGAGTAGAATACAATTCAGTAACCATGTTAATACAATGATTAGAATGCTAAAGCATAAAACTAGCCAATTTATTGATTGTTGATGTTGTGCTGGTTGATGGTACTGTTGATCAATACTAGTCAAATCAATTGTTGCACGTACAATACGATGAAACAGCAATTCTTCACTTGTATTCATCATCATCATCATCATTATGAAAATCGAATTACATTTCAATTACATTTAAAATTAAAACAATTTCATTGTGAATTTTATGTAATAACTGTTTTTTATGATTTGTGTGTATGATATTATGTGATTACAGATTAGAATTCAGTAGTATATTTATGTATTTAAGTACCGGTTCGTTTTTACTCGTCAACTATTGGACAAGATTAAATACAGATTTTATTCAATTCTGATTGGTTAATTTATTTTTTCGAATGAATGTTAATCAATTTCTCCGCATCTGATTGGCTAGTTAGAGATGATTATTTTCAGTGAGTGAAAATTAACATCAAAGAATGGTTATTTTTAGAAAATGTGTTAATCAAACGGCATTTTATGTTAACGATTATGCAAAGAGTAATGGTTGAAATTTTTTCTCCCTGCTGTTTAGATCTAGGTGTTTGTTAAAGTAATTCATAGGTAATGGATAAATAGTTTTCAAAATACACCTCGAAACTGCTAAAAATTTCCTGTTTCGATCAGATGAGCATTAAATAAAACGGATTTTTTTAAGTTTCCATAAACTTAAATCAAGTTTCGAAACTCCTTACTTACTCACATACGCCTGTTAACCATCATTCGGCATAGGCAATCGAACTATATTCTCAAAGCTACCTTATCCAGGGATTCCCTTACCAGATCTGTTTGATTTTTGTTCATTCTTCTCACGTCTGTCTCCAGTTCTCGGCGAAGTGCGTTCCTTAGTGTTTCTCTCTTCATTTGACATTGAGGATTCCAAGTGATGGCTTAACTTGCAGCACACTTAGGTGCTTTCCGCAGTGTGTGTCTTACCAACCGCTTCTTCTTGATTTCTTCCTCCGCTGAAATCTAGTTTGTTTGCTTTTCCCTTTATATATGTTGAGACCTGCTACTGCTGAAGCTGCTGTGGGTGCGATAGATCACAACAATAGATTAGCTATTCATGTGTACCATGACACAAATATAAGGTTATTTTGTGATATAATGTTCACATTCGATATCATCCAAACTGTCAACATTTACCAAGGAGACAGTGTTAATATAGAGTATCTAAAAGTCCATAACAGGACGAAACGGTCATCCAGTGATTCCAAATTTTCAAGTGGTGACCTAACAATGATTCATTCTAGATTGCTAGGCAAAACAATCATCTCCATTTGACTATGATACAAAGACAGACAGACAGATACAACACAGAACTTCGTACATAATTACATCAGTTCAGGTTACCATAACACAGCAGCACAGAGACGTAACTGTCAATTCAAATCCAAGAGCGATAGCAATAGTAGAATTATTAGCAGCAATGGAGACGATTAGGGAGCGAAGATATGATTCGAAAAGTATGATTCAGTAAGATAAATTTAGAAGGAAAAAGGTAGTGATTATGAGGAATTTAGGTTATAATTAGAGAGAACACAAAGAGTGGATGCACCTGCGCCACTGCAAACGATTCTGAGCCATGTCATTCAAGGTCTCTAACTAATGGTGACTTTCGTCTCACGGACCCCAACCAGATAGCCTAAATCTACCAACATGACTCAGTCCACTTGTCAGCGACTTCATGAATTTGTGTGAGATTCCATCGTCAAACGAAACTTATTGATGAAGACAGGAGAAAAAATGAAAACAGTTAACTTGTGCTTCCTAGTTCTCAATCATGTTCAAGCATTTGCCAGTTCATGATTTCAAATGAGAACAAGCGTTATAAGTGAGTAAGCATTGATGTAGTAAGACAATGGAAAGCGAATAGGCAAGTATTCAGGTGTGTAAGCGAACGTTGAATAATTGGTAATTTAAGTGAGATTGTAGTTGGTAGTAATCAGTCAGTGTATTGAGAGATGTTTATATTAGTTAGCGTGAGAATCCTTCAGTTGAGTGAGTAATTCCAGTGGCCAAGGACCACCAGTAGTTTACTTCTACAGTGACAGTAATGCAGTTAGTCATAATGATGATAACTGTGGTGTTGAACCACAGCAGACCAATAGACCAGCTGAATAATTCAATAAGTGATTGGATGTTATTTTGATTGTGTTTTGGACGTTGTTGCTGATGAATGGCCTTCGTTTTGATAATGAGATGCCAGCTCACGAGGTGCCAGGTGTGTTCGTGTGATCACTACTCGAATCACAATCTGGATTGATGCTGTCATCCGAACTGGTGGAGACACGGATGTCAATCGTGTGTCAATCAGATCTGTTCAAGTGAGTGTAAGTGTGCAGGTGAACTCCCAGCATGGATCAAAGCCGCATGAAACTCATTCAACCGAAACTCTGGACTACAGCGGCGGACAGTTCAATCTCGCGAGAGGACCAAATTTTAGAAACATCACAGTAAATCGTAAGTTGTCATTGGTTTTGGATGCTCTTTGAGTGACACCAAAATGACTTTAAGAAAAGTCATCTCCTTACTAGGGTTAGGAGAGGATTATAAATTTTTTCAACGTTAGAGATGAGAATTATGGTTAGTATTTTTATTCCGAACTGATAGCAACTATAAGGAACTCATCGAATTAGCATTTTTTTTTGAAAAACTAACATGAAGTTTAAATTAAACCGTCTACTACAAATTCGAAATCATGAATCAATCATTGTTAGACCAGCATTAGAAACCTGGAAGCACTGGACGGCCGTTTCGTCCTGGTATGGGACTCATCAGCATTGGGCATCCATGACTCTTGCTCCTCGCAGGATTCGAACCCGGGAGCAGGGGTCGTGGATGCGCACTGCTGGTGAGTTTCATATAAGGACGAAACGGCCGTCCAGTGCTTCCAGGTTTCTAATGGTGTGATCTAACAATTATCGATTGGTGGTTTCAAATGTGTAAAAACACAAACCTCCAAAACTCTGCCCCGAAATGTCTACTACAAGGCCTAGACACTATCAGCAACAACCTATTGCGTGAAAGGACAGACCAGATTCCAGTGCAGGAAGAAATCAGGAAGAAGCGCTGTAAGTGAATAGGACACACAATGCGGAAGCACGCACATGCGCCACGCGACAAGACATAACATGGAATCCTCAAGGACAAAAGAGAAGAAAAAGATCACACAATACAGTACGCCGATAAACAGAGACAGACATCGTAATAATCAGTAGCGATTGGGAACAACTTCAAATGTGAGCTCAGGAGAGAGTAGGTTTTAGGATGTTGGTTGGCGGCTCATGCTCCTCCAAGAGTAACAGGCGTAATCAAGTAAGTTGTCTTAAATGTGACAGATTCACTTATACGTAAACTTCTATGAATGTAAATTTTTTCAAATAATTAATAAAGGTGGCGAATAACTAGTAGTGCAATTCATGTCTGGAAGTTTAAAACTTCACCTATACGTGTAATATGGAGTCGATTAGTACAAAATAAATGATTTCAGTTTAAAGTATCAATAGAAAGATTTAAAAAATCAATACGATATTTCGATTAGTTAATGAGAAATGTACCTACTCACCTATCTACTTCCTTCCTTCCTTCCTTCCTTCCTTACTTACTTACTTATGCACTTACTTACCTACTTTCTTACTTAATTATTTGCTAACTTGCTTATTCACTTACTCTTTCTTAGACCGTCAATAACTATTCTTCAACCAACTCCATCAATCACTATTCATTCTTATGTTTTCATCCTTCAAATCTTAGCTCAGTGTTTTTAGTGTACTACGTTTTTTGTCATTTCTTGAGAATTTCATGTTAGGACTTCGCTCATGATGAAATTAGCTAATTGGTAAAACGTTTCGCAATTTATCAAAAAAGCTAGGTAGCTGAAAGTAAGCAACTTCAGCACGTTTTCTCAAAAGAAAGCAGGTACAATCACTTCAACATGAATCATCGATTCAAATATCGATCAATAGTTTCAAAAATGTGTAACTTAACAATCTTCACAACCCCGTAATGCAAATTACCTGTGCTCACTAGTGACTAGTTTCGTGAGGAATCATCTCCGAGTTCTAGTGGGAAGACGTGACCAGTGAAGTTCAACCTGTTCACGTGTAGACAGTACTTACTTACTTTTTACTTACGCCTGTTACCCACAATCGAGCATAGGCCAACAACCAGTTTTCGCCAACCAACTCTGTCCTGGGTTTCCCTCTCCAGTTCTGTCCAATGTTTGTTCACTCTTCTCATATCTTTCTCTATTTCTCGACGTAATGTGTTCCTCGGCCTTCCTCTTATCCTTTTGCCTTGAGGGTTTCATGTGAGGACTTGTCTCGTGACGCAGTTAGATGCTTTTCGTAGTGTGTCCTATCCACTTCCACCGCTTCTTCCTCATTTCCTCCTCCACTGAAGGAATCTGGTTTGTTCTATCCCACAGAAGGTCATGACTGATTGTGTCTGGCCAACGAGTACGAAGTATTTTGCGTAGACAACTGTTAATAAACACTTGTATCCTCTGGATGATGGCTTTCGTAGTTCTCCATGTTTCCGCTCCATACAGTACAACTGTCTTGACATTTGTATTGAAAATCGTGATTTTGGTTTTGGTTGAAAGTTGTTTCGAGTTCCAGATATTTTTCAGTTGTAGAAATGCAGCCCTTGCTTTGCCGATCCGCGTCCCCACATCTGCATCGGATCCACCTTTCTCGTCGATGATGCTGCCCAGATATGTAAACGTGTCAACGTCCTCCAAGCCATCGTCATCAAGAGTGATTTGGTTGGTGCATGTTGTGTTGCATCGGAGAATTTTGCTTTTTCCTTTATGTATGTTGAGACCTACTGCTGCAGAGGCTGCTGCTACACTGGTTGTCTTCGCTTGCATTTGTTGTTGCGTGTGAGATAGAAGAGCCATGTCATCTGAGAAGTCCAGATCGTTCAGCTGCGTCCTAACTGTCCAGTTGATACCGTGCTTCCCTCCAGATGTTGACGTTTTCATAATCCAGTCGATGACCAGGAGAAAGACAAAGGGTGGGAGTAAGCAACCTTGCCTGACACCGGTCTTCACCTCGAAAGAGTCTGTTAGCTGTCCGTCGTGCACGATTTTGCAGTTGAATCCATCATAAGAATTCCGTACGATG